TAAAGGAATTTTAGCATTTATTTTGAAATATATTATGGTACAAGAAATTTTATGGAACAAATAATTACAAAACACCAGAACAGATACAAGGTACAAGAAATTTTATGTACCAGTAACAAAATTAGATATTTACGCATCATAGAAGACCAAGAACTCTTCATCGTTGCAACTTCATCATAAGGTCAACAAAACCGATAATGGTATTCCAGGGTATTATTTTGCATGTGTATATCGTTATTGATTTCTAGAGTTACACTTGTAACTCATAAGCATAAATAAAAAATTAAAAACATTTATATAATATAGAATTAGTACTACCCATGTGTAATGCACACCCTTGTTTTTTCCTCACAAATTTGGGCAAAAATGTGTGCATTATACATGGCAAAATATGGTGTATAAGATCTCATTTTTCTCATCTTTTGAACAAGGAAAATAATATCTCCCTTACAAGACTGCTGTGAAGATTAGGTGATAAAGGACAGGTAAACTCTCATTTAATTCTTGAAAAAATATTGGTTCCCTTTTCTCTCCTGGAAAAAGTGCTTCTCCAAGTAGAAGAGATCCACCCTGTTGAGGACATTTTGGAATTTGTTGGGGGTAGTTTGGGTTATTATAGGGAGAAGACATTGGCGTTTGTTGGGAAGTGTCAGAAATGCTAGTTGTCTTGTAATGCATGGGAGAACTCCAATCAGTAAAAATTTGCCGTGTATTATATGACTTTTGATTTTCCCACTGGACATCCATGTAGGTAAAAAACCAATTTACAATTATTCAAGCTAGAGTCTAATTCTGCTTTACATATAGAAACAAAACATTTCTACTGAAACCAGTATGGTCAGGAATGCAATGAAAGTCAAAGGAAGACTGAATATTTTTCAATAAAGACTTTCAGTGGAGTATTCCGAAGTTGCTGTTGTGGAATTTTACTGGAAACTGGTTTAAAAAATTCTAATTATATGGAAGGATCAAAAATGAAAAACTAAAATCTCCCTTCTCCTACATCTATCCTTAGCCCCACTCCTAAAAGTAACTGTTTTTGAACAATTTCTGCTTTTTGGACTCTTTGTAATTATCATTTAACATAAAATAAACTCAACTAAACTAAAAATTTTTTTTTAAATTATTTTCTTTCTTTCTTTTTTTTTTTTAAGATTTTTATTGGGGAATTGGGGGGATGGGAACAGTGCTGGGAAATTAGGGGAAGGGGAGCAGACAAGTTGCTGTCGTTTTGTTCTTCAGTCTAGTTGTGGAGGACGTTGCTTCACTGGCCCAAGTTGGCACCATCATTGCGCTCTTCCCGGGCGAGGCAGATCAGTCGCTGGCGTCTGGACGGCCGCTCACTGCGGCTGCTGGCCGCTCAAGCTGGCCACTGGCTACACACGGTAGCCCATGGCAACCCACTGCCACAGGGGCTGCAGCCCATGCCGTCACCGGCGACTCATGGCAGCCCAGCTCCAGGTTGAGCTGTTGTTCAGCATCTTAGCTGTGGAGGACAGTGTCACTGGCCCTCATATATGGGATCCAAACCGGGGCCCTCTGGCATCCCAAGCCAGTTCTTAACCATCGTGCCACTTGGCCGGCCCTAAACTAAAATTTATACTAATATTTCTTGGTCCATCAACCTCAGACAATATTTATTACTGTATTTTACACGATGTTTTTTTCCTCTCCCTCTATCTTTTATTTCAGTAGTTTTAACTTTTACATTAACCAACTTTATAATAGATATTCTGCATTGTGTGAATCTTCTGAGCTTTTTTTCTGTAGGCTTATTATTAAAATAAAATAAAAGCATTTGAAGTGCATTTATATTGTGACATAAATATACAGTAGAGAAATAACTGATGGGATGGACTCATGAAAAAAGGGAAAACAATTTTATATTACCAGTCCTCTAATATTTAAGGCTACTTACTCAATCTCACAGTCCATTGGGATCCTTTATTTTTGTCAGCTTTTCTTACTGCCTGTTTTCCTTGTACGTCAGTCTTCCTTTGTGGCATTTCCTTTACGTTTTCCCGGGGTATCTACTCACACACTTTCTCTATGGATGCATGGAAGGTTGTTTTCTTTTAGTTGGCCTTGCATGTCCCCCAAATAGCTTTATGTCTTTCCCTCTTTCTGTCTTCTCTTACAATTGATACAATAATTTCCTCTGAAAATGTGAGGCGGAAATTATCTCGCAGTGTTGTAGCACTCGTCGATTCTAGAGAGAAGCTCTAGATCCACTTCTTTGTAAGACACCAGATTCCTCGCCCTGGAAGCTTTCTTGATGTTTCTCTTTATTTTTGGAATTGAGACCGTTCACAAGCATGGACAATTTTTTTCCTTTTGGTTAGAATGTACATGTATTTTTAACTCAGATAATTTTGTTTTAATTAAAAAAATGACAATGTCACCCCGATAAACTTAATTTTTTTTAAAAAATAGTAATGACAATGTCTGTTATTTAATTATTTCTTACCTTCTATTGTCTCTGATTTTTGCTTCTGGACCTCCCATTCCTACGTGTTTGAAGTTTGGGATCATTCTCCTATATTTCTGAAATTTTCTTTGATTTTGGGCACATTTCTTTCTTTCTTTGTTTTTAGCTGAGCCATCCTGCCACCTGTTGGCAGCTCAGCAGCAGCTCAGCTAAGACTGGGAATTGAACCGGCTCACACTCTTGAGCGAGCTCTTAATCAACTGAGCCACTTGGTTTGCCCATGGGCACATTTCTTCATCATTCTGTACACAGTTTTCTCATCTATAAAATGGGCATAGTAGCAGTATCTTAATACATCTATAAAAGTCCATGATTGGGCTGACCAAGTGGCACGATGGTTAAGAACTGGCTTGGGATGCCGGAGGGCCCCGGTTTGGATCCCACATATGAGGGCCAGTGACACTGCCCTCCACAGCTAAGATGCTGAACAACAGCTCAACCTGGAGCTGGGCTGCCCTGAGTCACCGGCGGCGTTGTAGGCTGCAGTGCACCCCCGTAAACTACCGTGAGTAGCTCGCAGCCAGCGTTAGTGGCTGTGACACGCCATAAGTGGCCATTCAATAGCCGGTGATCAACTGCCTCACCCGGGAAAAGCGCAATGATAATACCAACTTGGGCCAGTGAAGCAACGTCCTCCACAACTAGACTGAAGAACAAAACAACAGCAACTTGTCTGTTCCCCTTCCCCAATTCCCCAGTGCTGTGCCCCTCCCCCAATTCCCCAATAAAATCTTTAAAAAAAAAAGTCCATGATTACTCTCATATTATGTCTCTCTGTTGCTAATCTAAAAAGGATCCAAGCATATTTTAAAATTAACTAAATAAATGTTATTAGAAATAATGGGAATACTTTGTAATGACAAAAATACAACTTACGAAGAAAAACGAAAAGAATCCAAACATAAATGAGACATTTATAGTCTATGGAATGTAACATACATTTTTTAATGGCCTTTATTCGAAATCTAGGGTTACCCTTTCTTCCCCCACCACCCAACTCCCTCTTTTCCTTCTTTCCTTCATTTCTTGTTTCTTTCCTTCCAAGATGAAAGAATTGCTAGTTTTCATCAATATGAGCTGGTTTATCTTCGTTTGGAAGAATGAAGAAAAAAACCCTAACGTGGCCTTAAAATGACTCAAGACACAGAGGGAGCTGAATGGAATCTGAGGACATAACTCATCCATAAGACTCGATAATTTGATGCTTTTGTGTGTATGATTTGTGTGCAAGTTGTGTTAATTATACATGATGTTTGGAAAAACACTTTGTGTTGAACAGTGTAAATGTCAGTCTCATTAGCCATCATCATTACCTGTCAGGAAGAAGATGCTTTCAATGAATGACAATTGCCCTGCCTAGTTCTCTGGATACGTACAAGCATAAAAATAATTTGGGGGTTAATCTTATTTTTCAGAGCCAGTGATGCTTCTCTCTTTCCAAGGGTTTTCAAACCAACCTCTAAACTTGGAAAAATTGGCCTGATTATAAAACACTAATTAGAATGAGTTCACATTGATTCATGGACAAAAAAGATAGCAGACTCGTGGACGGGCCACTCTTTTAGGCAACTAGATTCTAATAATGGTAACAAGGTAGTTCAAAACGTGAGGGTGGGGGAGGTACAATTCCTGATTTAATATCGGTTATCTAAAATATCCAATTTTAGTGTGACCAATGCAAATGACTCCATCTTTACCCCAGAGCTTCCCCTAATCCTTTGTGGAGTCTTTTGTATACATTTACTCCTCTAATGGCTTTCCATGTTCTGTTTTCTGATCTTCAGAATTAAAAAAAAAATTATATGTTTTTTAATATCTGGAAAAAATAATGGAATGACTAGTATTTTGCTTAAGAATTTGTAGCATTTTGAAATAATTATGTGTAATAAACTATTAAATTTTAGCAGCAGTTAAATTTTGTATTGATGAATTTTCCATAGTAAAAAATAACAACTGCTTTGCTTATTAGATTATTATATAATAATGCCCAACTTATGTCCAAATAATGCTTTGTGAGTTATTATTGGTGACTCTTGGCTATTACATGGAGATGTGATGCATAATGACTAATTTAAATGCATTTTTAAATTGAAAACTTAGAAATACTCTTCTAGCTTAGTAAACAACAGACAGATGATATAAATTGTAATTTGAAACATCCATTTACCCAGTCTACTCATACCCTAACAAGAGGCTTTTAAAAAATTGAGATATTTACCAGCCAATACATGGATCCAAGGAATGAAAAAACTGCATTTTGTTCAGAAGCATGGGTTTTTCTAGATCTTGTTAGTCCAACTAAGGTTTTGATTATTAAGTTAATTCCATTTTTGTAAGTCAAAGCAGAATGACGTATATTTACCATCTTAGAATAGGATACTTCTGCGTTTGCCCCAAGTTGTCATAATAAATATAAAAATCACTCATCTGTAGAGTCAATAAAACTGTAACCATGGAAATAAGGAGTCTATGATGTGACTAATGTCCCTTTATATTTGGTGTCCTTGTGCAGTGCAAAACCTGAACAATCATACATGGCAGCTTTGTCCCAGCCCCACGGAGAACACCTGTCAGCGCCTGAGTTTCTCCAGCAGTCACCACAGGTGAGCTAAAGGTGACCTTTCTGTTGAGACTCTCTCCACTGTGGCATGATTTTGTATGATGGAAAGCAGTGTCATTCTTGTCAGCATGACTTACTGGAAGCTGTGTCCACTCAGTGAGACTTTGGGAACACAAAGCCCACAGCCTGGCAAGTCTTATTTTAATCATTTTAGCCTGAAAGAGTTTGAAGTTTTTTGTCTGTTGCGAGAGAAATTCTTTCCTCTTTTTTTTTTTCCACTTGTGAACAACTTGGAGGAGGTGGTTTGGAGTTGGAAAAATGTCTGCTCTTTGCTTGGGTGTGTCACAGAGACCAGCGTTCGGACAGCTGTCCTTCTGCACGTGGCTGTTAGATGAATGTCACTTGACTTCATTTGAAGCCAGGGGTAAGCACAGAACGATACTCAAGAGGCCCCGTCCTGGGTGACGGTCCTACTTAGGAAAAACCGAACTGATAGTGAAGAGAGAGCTACCCAAGTCAGTTTCCTACCAGTGTCACAATTCATAATACGTTTGTTGACTGCAATGTGTTGACTGTTTATTGCTCAAATGAGATGCTATGTAAATTATATGTGTATATATGTTAACATGCATGCAAATCATATGTATGCACTTTGAGAAATAGAAAGCAAGAAGGTATCATTTATAGCACACTGGGCTAGGAAAAGAAAGGTTAGGTATGAGACCAGTGGTTCTTGTTCTCAGCGGCAGGTGAAAATCACCAGGAACCCACATTAAAGGTAGGCATTCCTAGGCCTTAGTGCAGAGACGTGGACTCAGTGGGTCTGAGGTTGTGCCCAGGAACCTGTATATTTTGAAATAGACAGAGGTGATACTGATACTCATCCGGGCTTTTGGACGTTCCTGTTCTTTTCCTAGCCTGATGGTGCCAACTCTCTTTTGTTCCGTGTCACGGGACCGTCCTGCCTCTCAAAGCTCTCACTGAAATCATCAAATGCCTACTGTGCACATAGCCTCGTCAGGAGCATGATAGGAAACACAAATACAAAAGACCCAGTTTTTCAGGAGGTTAGACTCTAGTAGGGACATAAGAGATGTCTTGAAAACGGAAGGCTGTGGGCAGACTCATCACTGCCTGCTCCTTTCACGAGAAACCCAAGGCGCTTCTCCAGGTCTTGGAGGTTTGACTGAGCTCAGTGTCCTTGGCGGGGCTCCCTGGCTGACGTTCAGAGAGGAAGGAGCAAACGAACCATTATACGCAGCTTAGGGAAATTGAATACAACAGTTCTTTGTCTTATGGAAAAGGTGGGAAGAATTCCTACCTCGACTTAATATGCGTAGAGGGCTGTATTTTAGGGTTTGAGATTTCACCGAGGCTTCCTAGGTGCCCTTTTCGTTGCTGTTGTGGATATACTGTCTACGTTTATTTAAAAATATGAAAGCGCTATTTTCTGAATTGATCTATAATTTATAAGGAACATCATTATAATTACAAATGCGGCATTACCATGCTGCACCCATTGCGTTGGAAGGGGGCTGCATGCTTATGATGGTTTCTTCCCTGTTGCCCACAACTGATTTATCACTTGTCTGCCCCACCTTGCGAGCTTACTGTCGTTCCTAGCTCTCCACACCCCTCCCTCCAGAGGAATGTGAATCATGGAACATGTTACTCAATTTTTTTTTTTGTTTACCTGCTTCTGAGGTGCCATACGCGATAATTAATCACCATCACAAATATTCTCATGGAAATGCTTTATATAGCCACACTTTTACTGGGTCACTGAACTAGTAAAACAGCTTATTCGAAGCATCGCTGCAAACCACAGCCTTTGGTTCCCAGGTAGTTACTAAAATGCATCAAGTAAGCAGAGATTTGCATGATATCTTGTCAGGTGACCATGTTAGAAATCTTTTGTTTTTAATTAGTGCTCACAGTGGCGAAAGTAACCGGTCTGTGTTATGTTGAATACATAGTATTGTTTTCATAACTTTTACATATTTATCAAGTAGTGTTAAAATAAAATTGGAGAAAAGATGGGACTCACTTCATGTCCTTTTCCTCCACAAAACAAAGTTGGTAGCATATATTACCTCGAAATAGAAATTTTCATCTGTCTGGTATCTTTCACTGAGGTCTGTAAACCTACTAGATATTAGGCCGTTGAGAGAGCTCCGGTGTAAAGATTTTAAGTGAGGTGTCTTCCCCCCTCAAGTGCGTGTCTCTTGATCTGCAGGGCAGATGGATTTCTCAAAAGGTACGGGTCACAATGCAACCACGTTCTTACACTTCATTTGAGGAGAGTTGTATCTAGGGTACAACCCCAGAGAGGGCGACCCTCTAATCCTTCCCCCTGCCCATCAGTTTCATGGCACTGACCTTGACATGGGAAATGGTTTATTTTCTCCCACTTCAGAGGAAAGCGCTGTCTGTATGATACTCAGGATCCAACCCAGGTCCAAAAATGCCAGCACCAAAAAACACGACATAGTCAGAGATCAGGATCGAAGTCAAGTAATCAGACCGGGATCAGAAACAGTGGAGTCAGAATCTCAGGAACTGATGTTAGAAAAAGCTTGTTTGAGTGGGATTTGCTCATCCATCTGTTCACTGGCTCATCCATTGAGTGAGTCATTCATTCATTCAGCAAACAATCTGTGGGTCACCTACTCTGTGCAGGGTTCTTCCCTTTATGGGACTTGAACTGAGGGGTATAGGAGGTGGGGGTGGAGGCAGGCAACACCCAATCACATACCTTTTCATTTGATTAGCATTCTGACAGGAGTCATAATGGGACATGGAGCTGTATAAACTGGGAACTTGGGGGCTAAGGGAGGGCTGCCTCGAAGAAGCTGAGACTGAGATGAGCTTAAAGGACCAGCAGGAATTATTAGAACGGAAAAATGCACAAAAACAGGAGGGTTAAGCTAGGCTTCTAAGCTGGTGTCAGTACAGGTACTGTTGGGGTTGGGGGGACACCAGACAGCGGCGGGAGGGGGGAGATGAATGCTAGGTCACAACAGTGCCACATGGGGCTCCAAGACTGGGAAACCAGACAGGCCAGCTTCACAGGCCAGGTTCACCTTTTACGAGCTACAATATCTTGAACACATCAACTTTTCTGAGCCTCAGTTTCTTTACCTGTCATAAATAAGTAAAACATAGTAAAATAAATAATGGCTGATTATATCTACCTAGTAAGAGTGTTGGGAGAACTAATTTTAAAATTTTGCAGTTATGAAATTCATGACTTCATCCCCATAACTAGCTACCAGTAATTCAGACCTCTTTGGGGTTATGTTTGGGAGTTTATTATGATGTATGCTGAAGTGGTGATATTGATTTGCTGTGTAATCAAGATTCCCATGAAAAATGTTCTATATGTGCATTCCATTCCACCGCATTTTAATAAAGAGTGTGGCCTAGGTTTCATGTCCTGGAACACATGTACCTCCTGCACTTTATGAAATAATCAAATATGAAAACAACAATAATGTATCTCAGAAGAAATGAATTGACTTTGTCACTAGGGGGAGACCTAGCCAGGTTTTGCGACTTGCCCTACCTTTCACAGAGCAGAGAGTTGCTTTCTTTCCTCTATGTTCTCAGGAGATAAGAGAAATGATGATATTGGAAAAGGCATTGAGAAAACTCGGCATTCCCGACGGGAGAATCGGAGAGGTTTTTTGTTTTCTTTTTGCTTTTTAGTGTGTTCTACATGGTAGATTAGAAACCTTAGGGGATACTGAGGCAACCAAGGTGATTGACAAGTGGTTTGAACTGAGTTCCCTTGGCTGAGTTCCTGGTAGTATTGTACGGGGGTGGGGGTGGGGGGTGANGAGGGGGGGCCTGCAGGCATCACGAGGGGCCAAGACTTCCAAGGGGACCAGATAAAGGAGATTGAGTGTCCTCTCCCGGCAGCCACCTGAGAGGGTATGGACATTTAATAAACACCACGTTTTGTCACTGGAATTTTCAGTGACCGGAGTCCGGGTGCAAGCATGTATACTTGTTTCTGTTATATATTTTCTCTTAATTACATTTCTCTGTAATCTTGAATCATAAGAAGTAGGGGAGCAGGCACTCTGTGGACCATTCTAGAGAAGGAAAAAGCCAAGGGGTGACAGGAGAGAAAATGCCTCTCGGAGGTGATGGTCCATGAACCACTTACCTGAGGAACTGACTCCTAGAAGGGTCTGCTGACACAGGTGTTAGAATTCCACTCCGTTAGTTATTCTTCTTTGTCAAACAGAGATTCAAGCTTAGAACTGAGTTAAGGGCAAAGCTCTGTATCATCTTAGTTCTTTTAAATCTAGCAGTGCATATATTTTATTTTATAGAGGACACAGAATAAAACAGTAGACTTTCATTTCAGAAAATTTAGAATATAAACATGAAATGCAATTGGTCATGAAGCGGTTTTAAAAAATAATTTCAAGGGTACAATGGATATTAAATACCTCTAAGTGTTCAGTTTATAACTATCAAATTTGAAACTACTTCCTTACCCAAGTGTGAATTATATTTAACAACTTGGCTATTGCCTTGCTAAGCATCTTAAGTCCACATGAATTGCATTAACATGAAGTTCAGAAGATTCAAATTGTATTATGTATGGTTGAATTAGGTGTCTCTAGAAAACACATGGAAATATTTTGAAAGACTATTTTTTTTAATTATGAAAATGAATGTTTGGTAAAGGAATTTATATTCATCTGTAATTTCTTCCCTAAGTGATAACTACTATTGAAATGTTGGGTTATTTCTTTTTGGCTCTCATTCTGTGAATTTATTTATTTTTTTACAAAGCTGAGATCATGCTGTGTGTATGATTTTCTATTCATATTTCTTTTTCCCAGAGAACAATGCTTTGTTGCTTCCATATCATTGCGTTTATGTAAATGGAGCACATTGGCTCCATTGAAAAGGTTCCCCTTTTTAGCACAGAATCAGTATGTATTGTTTTTTTAAACTATATATTTATTCAACCTTTTATCATTAAAAGTCTTTGTAAATATCATTTTAATGGTTGCAAGATA